GGGGATAAGAAAGTTCTGTCTTCCACGATGTCCCCCTTACCTTCATTCCTGAGTCCCTGAAAAAGGAGAGCAGTTACAGGGACAGCCTCAGGGTGTGTGCGTGTGCGTGTGCATGTGTGGATAGACTGTGCTGTAGGGGTGCGTGTGCAGGGGGTGTGCAGGGGTGTGTGGTGAGGCGCCCAGCTTTATTGTGACTTGCCCTGGGGGGTGGGAGGGTTGAGCCACTTACTCTGGGTCTGTCAGTCAACCCGGGGTCTGTTCTGCCTTCCGGCACTGGCTGAGGGAGCCGTTCCCTTTTCTCCACTTCTGTCCTAGCCTTTTGGGGCCCGTTCCAGCAGCCTGTTCCCCTTGGGCCCCAGCTGAGCCCCAGCTCGGGGGCCCTGGCTGGTGGGCGGAGTGCAGGAGCGCAGACGGACAGCAGGTGGCAGCGTGGAGCAGCCGGAAGGCGCCAGGCCGGCCTGCAGGAGGCCCCCTCCCGTCCCGGCCCTGGGCTCCCAGCCACCGGGAGGCCCCGAGCTGGGCCCTCCTAACTCCACGTCAGCTTTCAGAGGGGACTAGGCTGAGGATGGAGCCAGACCTGTGCCCAGAAAGAACCACAGTCCCGTCCCGCCATCTCAGTGTGGCCCCGCTCACACTGGATGGGGACCGGCGCCTTTAAGCTGAGATCCTCGGGTTGAAGACGGGGGAAGGGGGGGCAGGTGTCCTGGGTGGCTCTAGGGACCTGGCAGGATCCCTGTGAGGCCTGGGCGCCTCTCACCTGTGACTCCCGTCAACCCTTATGCCAAGCATACCACGCTGGCAGAAAACAAATGGACTGAGACTTTAATTACCTTGAGGTCAATGGAAGATCTTAAGAACAAAAAAAGACCCGAAACACGGCGTGGCCTCATAAAGTCGTGGATGCGCATGTCTTGCACATTCTAGACTTGGGGCTGACAGGAGAAGCAGCCCGTGGCTGAGATGTGAACTGTAAAGACACATGGAGCCCGAGGCCCCTGACTTACTGGAGAGACTGGGCCTCCCTGAAGTTGCGCCCGGCTGAGCAGAGAGTGAAGGGGGGTGGGCAGCGGCATCCGGCCGCTTTAAACGTCCACAGGCTGGTCAGACCACGTGTGGCTGCGGAAACGAGCCAGCAGCCTGCAGGGAACGTGGGCGCAGAGCAGAGAGCCCCCCAGGAGCAGGAGAGTCTGTGGGCTCGGGAAGCAGGCCCCAGGCAGGGTCTCCCGGCTCCTGCCTTGAGCTGCCCCCACAGCTGGGGGGCGCCCCCCGGCAGGGTTGGCGGCCTCGAGGGAGGCAGGTCCCCCCGGAGTTCCTGGTCCCCTTCGCCTCGGCCCCGACCCCCAGGGGGGACACCGGGAGACCCCTATGATCCGCAGAGGCTTCTCTGCTGGGAGAGGACTGTGGAGCCCTGGAGCCTCGCAGCCCCTCGAGGCCCCATGCTCAGAGTTATCGATATTCGACCTTGACTGAGGGGCAGAGGCAACGGCCTCGAGCGAGGGGCCGGGCTGCTTTCTCAGGATTGCCCAAGAGGCAGATCTGGGCGGTTTCCGGAGCAGGCGCAGTTACGGAAGGACACAGTCCCCACCAGCGCCCGGCTGTCCCCACAGCGTGGCCTTCTGAGGAGACTTCATCTTTAGGCATTTAAATAGTTCCCTTTTAAAAAACAAACCACTTTTTAAATGGAAGGCTTTAAACATTGTTTAAAAAGGACAGGGCACCCACATGGACCCGCCCCCAGTGTAACGAACCCACGAGAGTGCGTGGCCTCCCCGTGTCCAGGAACAGCAGCAAGACCCCTCCCACCAAGGTCATTTTGGAACAAGTTCCGGACGTCCACGCGTGTCCCCGTGATGCCTGTGTAGCTTGCGGCGGGCTCGGGTGCAGAGGAAGGGCCACTGAGGGGCGGGCTTCGCGGTGTTTCCCGTCGCAGGGGGCCGATCCCGCGCTCAGGAGAACCGAGTTTCTGTTCTCTGCACAAAGCGCTTAAGGAACCGAAACGCCTCCTGGTGTTTGAAAAAGGTGCTATTCACTCATCCAAAGAGCGTTTACTGAGCGCCTAGCATGTGCCAGGCACAGTGCCAGGCGCTGGTCCTCTGTCCTCATGGAACCCCGTCTTTCGCGAGAGGCAGATGTTACACAGAAAACTAGGGTTAATGCCAAGGGTGCCAGCGACAGTGAGGCGAGGCACAGGGCTGCCCCAGGTGGGGGCCGTCCTCGGGGGAGGCCGAGTCCAAAGGCTGGCCCCTGGCAAGGCCTGGCAGGGACGGCCTGGGTGGAGGGGCTGTGCGTTCGAGAGGAGGCGAAGATGGGGGGTCACCTGGCTGGGAGGCAGGAGTCAGAGCTTGAGAGCTGGAGCTTGTTGGCCATGGGGGAGGGGGCGGCTCTTACCCCCGGGCACTGGGGAGCCACTGCCGGTTTAAGCAGGAGAAGAGACAGGATTAGCTGTGTGCCCTCTCATTCATGTTACAGAGCCAAAGTTCTCATTAGGGCGAAGCCCCTTTTCTGCTCCTTCCTGGGGACTGGGAGAGAAGGGCTGAAAGGCACAAGAAAATCAAATTCGGGGAAATGCGTACGGCTTAGAACAGGTTCTGACTCTGGTGACGGGTGGTCACCGGGATGCCGTGGCCGAGGGAGACAGCAGAGGTTTGTCTGCACCGCTCGCCCCGAGTTTACTGGCTGCCAGCCTGGGGACGCATGGGGAGGCTTCAGGCGTGTGCGGCGGGGTCGCCTGCCTGACCCACGGGTGCCGGAAGGCGGGGACCAGCATCTCCAGAGAGGCCGCCCCCACACCTCCCTCCGCGCTACAGCTCCCGGAGCCAGCTCTCGTGGGGCCCGCGTTCACAGCAAACATGGTAATATTTACCAAGTATTTCTGCAAAAATGAGTGTAAAGTGCAGGCAATGCAGAGCAAATTGCTAGAATGGAGTACATTAGCAACATAGGACATTTAATGGATCTGAGAAGAGAGAGAAAGGTTTCAGGAAAATGTCAACTGTGAAATGTAAACAAGAGACTTCTCACTGTCTCATCTCCCCGAGACTTTATTTCAGTCTCCAGTTATCACTAGAGCTGAGACCCTGAGAGATTCGAGCCCTACATCGCGGGGGGTGGGGGAGTGGGGCTGAGAGGAGAGCGGGTCGCTGTGGACCACAGGCTAGCAGAGCACCTCGCGCACCCACTGATCCCGCCTGCGGGGCGCAGGGCCCCCGGCGGGCCTGGTGCACGTCTGGGAAGAGCCCTGCTGCAGACCTCTGTCCTCTGGGGAAACGGCCACTTGTTACTGGAGGGCTGGGAACTACCCCCTGGCCACCGAGGGGCAGGGAAAGGTCAAGGTCAAGGTCACCCTTGACCCATCTTAGGCAGCCACATTCTTCCCGTCACTGGGACAACGGAGGGACCCGGGAAAGGGCACCCTCGGTCTTGTCCACCGACACCCGACTCTACCAGTTCAGTTCACGGTCAAGTCAAGTCGAGAAGCCCATGGGCCGCAGATTCTCCCTCACGTTCCTGTTGGGGGAGAGGTGCCCAGGACGGCAGGGTGACTGACCCCGTCCTTCCTCCGCAGTGCCCGACAGCATCATCATGAAGGTGTTGGCCCAGCGCCTGAACCAGTACGACTGCCTTCAGAAAGGGTGGGTGCTGCACGGCTTCCCGCGGGACCTGGACCAGGCCTACATGCTGAGCAGCGTGGGCTACGCGCCCAACAGGTGAGCCCGCCCGCCGGGGCGCCCGGCTCACGGCCCGCTGACAGCGCCCANCCAGCCTTCGCGGCTTCCCCGGGCGGGTCCCGTGCCCGGACCCCCCCACCGCCTGCTCGCCCTGGGAACGGGGACTGCGGCTAAGGCTCCAGTCCCGGCGCTGTCCCCTCGCGGGGCCTGAACTCCTTCAGCTGTGAACTGTGGAAATAACCGAGGGCCACCCGGTGAAAGCACCCGAAGGCTTTCAGTCCGGGAGGGCTCTGGCCGGGGAGGCGGCCGCCGTCCCCTGGTGTGGCAGAGACGCTGAGGAGGCGGCGAGGAGCCGAGAGCGTTCTAGTTGGAAACGGGGCTCCCGGTGTCCGGATGGCGGCTGTGGGCCGGGGTTGCTGAGGGGCCCCCGGGAGCGGGGCCCCGTGTGCCTGGCCAGGGGAGCGGCTTTGGAGTTGTCCTCAGGGGCGGACAGACATGCAGAACTTCCTAAGTCCCTGCTCATGTGAGCCTTTCTGTCACCTTTATTTGTAAGCATCCAGCAAAGTAAAGAATTCTTGGGGCGCATTACTCCCTCTCGCCCGCCGTCTGGGACGGAGCCTCGAGGCCGCGGGAATGTCAGGCTTTCCCGGCCGGGAGGGGCGCTCCCCCCGCCCCGCACACACTTCCCCAGAATGTTCTCCCGGGGTCGCCTCGGTTACGGCGTCCGCATACAGGGGGACCCCGACGTGCGGGCCGCGCTCCCCTCTGTCCATAGCTTCACCCTTTCCCTTTCTGTGTTGTTCCCGCATGTCTGTCCCTCACCGTAACTTGATTTTCTGTCCTACTTATTTCCCGTTGTTTCTGGTTTGTTTTCCATTCGTACGACGCTCTTACGTTTCCCTTAGTTTTTTTCCCCCTTAACTTTGTCAGCTGCCTTTCATCCCCTTTTTTATCTCAACTTTTCTTGTCTTTTTTTTTTAAATATATTTTATTGATTTCAGAGAGAGAGGAAGGGAGAGGGAGAGAGAAACATCAGTGATGAGAGTCATTGACCGACTGCCTCCCACACCCCCCACCAGGGTTGAGCCCACAGTCAGCGATTCCCGGTCGGGGCACATTATCCGGCCAGGTTGGGGTCCCCGAAACTCTGTCTTATTTATATCCCTGCAGTTGGGGCTGGGGGCTTCCTGCCGGGAGACTGAAAGGTCTGCCCAAGTCTAGGGCCAGGGGCCCAGCGGGAGGCTGCCCATCCTGTCCTCTCGCCCACCTGCCCGGGCGTTCCCAGGGACCGCGGCGCCGTGAGGCTGTTTCCCCCTCGGGTCCCCGGTGACGTGTCAGAGGTTAGCTTGTGTGTGAGCTCACCCTCCACCGGAAGAGGCAGGGCATCGGGAAGATGGGGAACAGTCACTTAAAAGAAAGGCCAGGGCGGGTCAGTGACACGTGGGGGACAGAATCAGCGTTTCTGAGCCCCGAGGGGCAAAGCCCGCTGTGTTTACTGGCCCTCTGCTCGGACCGGGCCTGCGAGACCCGCGGGGGGCCAGGGCGCTCGCTGCAGAGCCGGCGGGAGGAGCCGCGGCGCCCACTCGGGCCAGCCTGCGAGGGGACACGTCTCTGATCACCGCGGGGAAAATCGGTTTCTAAAGGCGCAGTGAATCGTGCCAGTGTCATTGGCCTGACCCTCCGGCCTGGGCAGCGTGGATCCGGTCGCGGCCCGTCCGACCCCCTTGGGTGACACCGGTCGCCCACGGTGTGTTTCTTTCCCTCCTTCCCGTCTCCGCCGGTTCCGTTTCCCCAGCTTTGCTTTCCGTTAAACATTTTAAAAACTAATTCAGGGAGTAATTTTCGTTGTCAACCTTCAAGTCCAGACAAAGGCTAAGGAAGGAGAAATATTCAACAGGGAGCCCACCTGGCCCTGGGCCGGGCCCGGGGGTGGGGAGCAGG